TCAATAGTCATATCAACATCAACATGGAGCCTCAGAGATGACATAGTACACTACATCAATGTGATACCTTGGACTAAGACAGGATGGCCGCTTGCTCCCGTGTCGTCCGAGGTCGTACAAGACGGCGTCACATAGTACAAAGCTACTCCAGGAAACTCGAAACAACATCGCTTGGTGTGTGTCCATGCAGGTCGGTCGGTGTCCACACGAAAGGTACAAGTCGACCGTTTGAGGAGCTGACGGTCATTAACAGACCATATACAATCGACTTTTGTTCATAGGTATAAAAGTCAATCCCCTGACTAGCGTTATAGGTCGAATTTCAAACACTCAAGCTCCCTCTAACACCATCCAACACTGACTTAAGCTTCAGAAAGGTTGAGTCAAGGAATCTCCTTTTTCGACTTCGGCATGTGTGCAAGAACTCGGCAAGGAAGGAACAATAACCTAGCGAGGGAGGAAGAGCAACTCCTTGCTCTACCTCGGATTGATTCTGGAGGCGAAGCCTAAATCCGACATGATGTCGACCACTCCCATTCGAGTAGTTGCCCACGTCGGCGACTCTGCATACTCGAGATCGAACCAAATCATACCGATAGGACGTAAAGTTGCTCAGTAGGTTGGTTGATCTGTAGGCAGTGACTTACCACCCTGCAATGGTGGTAAAGCTAAGTCGGTAAAGTTCAGTTCAGATAGTAGTACTACAGTAGATAAACTCAGGGTTTTTGGCTCATCTTTAAACCTTTCCCTTCGAACTCAAAGAATTGGTCTTCTTTAAGACAAATCCCTCTTCAAAATGCCTTCCAAAATGGAATCAAACTTAGTGTTCTCTTGGATGGGTTGACTACTTCTGAGCCATCAGAAGTATCTATTTGTGTATTCTATACATTCCAATAAATTTGCCCAAGTTGTTGGAAGGTGATTGAGAAGCTTCTAATGTGAGAGAGAGAGAGAGAGAGAGGGTGGGGTTGTCAGTGGGGAAGAGGAACAAAACATAGCTTGTGATTTACTAGCCCTAAATCAGAAGCTGCTATATCTTTTCTCACTTCCCATGGGTTTACTGAATCAACTGATTAAACCCACCACACCACAAGCGATCAACTCGTCAGCAATTAGATTTGGTAGTCAAAGTCTTCCCTCTTACCAGATTCAATCGTGCAATTTCTTTACCGTCTTATGATAATGGTAACAACGTGGAAGCCGCTTAATTCCCCACATGGGGGTTATTCAGGTTCCATCGACGCAATTTCCCCATGTGGGAATGCGCCGCAATTTGGACGGTCAAAACAACATGACCAGTCCAGGCCTTCCGGAATCGACGGCTAGGATGGGGTTCGTTGACGTCGGGGACGACGACCGTCGATTCGTCACGTGGGGGAATCGCACCAAAGGAACGCCATCGTCGTCACGTGGGCTTTTTCCGCAGATTGGACTGGTCGTCCAATTTGACCGCGTGTTTAAAGTGCAACCGCGGCTGCATATAAGGGCGGCCCGCCATTTAAGCCAGCGGGAATAGTTAGGAGCAGTCGAGGTGGAGAGCAGCGGTAATGGCAACGGAGCCCTTCGTCCCCTTCCACGAGGAGTACTTACATGGGGTTGATAACAGTCTCCTCTGGGCCTTGTCGCCGGAACTGCCCTTCGATTGTACGGCCGCCTTCCCTGAGCTCATGCAGGAGATAGACCCGCCGGTTGCGCCGCCGCCGCCGGCCCATTCGAGTGCCTTCGGGAGGTATGCCAGGTCGGAAGGTGCACAAATGTCGGAGTGCTGCAGCTCAGAAACCAGAAGTGGCGGCGACGGTGGCCGGAACATCCACCGGCGGGTCATTGAGATGTTGAGAAGGATCCCGAAGGGGGAGGAGCCCAGCGGGGTGGAGACGAGCAGGGGTTTCCGGCATATGATGAGAGAGCGGCAGCGGAGGGAGAAGCTCAGCCAAAGCTATGCTGATTTGTACTCCATGATTGCCTCCAGATCAAAGGTTCCTTCTCTTTTCTGTTCTCCTTCTCAGTCAATCAGACGCTGTCGTTGCATTAGAGCTCATAGGAACTAGAATTCTCGAGTCTAATAGCTTGTGTATCTAATTAAACTCTTTCAATCTCATTAGGGGAAATCATTTAGGAAAGGAACGAGGCATATTCCATGAAATTTAGAGATGATTTTCCATGTTCATCTAATCAGTGGTTTCTTACATAAAGGGGTGAAAAGATATCAGTGACAGTAATGTGTTTGGTGATGATGTGATGCTGATAGTTGATTGTTTCAGTTTCTTGTTTCTTTGTTCGGATGTTGTAGATTTCATTCACTCAATCTATGTGCAACTTTTCCAGGGTGACAAGAACTCAATCATTCAGTCAGCCGCTCAGTATGTGCTAGAACTACAAGGGGTGCAGAAGGCGCTTCAGAAGCGCAATGAGGAGCTCAAAGCAGAGATACTAAGGAACAATGCAACCGATGGGGCCAAGATTAAGATCAGTGTGACCAATCCATCATCTTCCATCGACTCCATGATTGGGGCACTGCGGTGCTTAAAGAGTTTGGATGTCAAGGCGAAAGCCATTCGATCTGATCTCTCCAGCACCGAGTTTTCTGCCACTATGAGCATCGATACCAAGGTGCGTAATATCTTGAGTTTTTTGGTGCAGTCCTTATTGATCTTAATCACCAAATTGCAATAGCCAGTTCTTCTGATAGAAAGGAAGTAATGGTTGGAATAATTATGCCTTGGGATTCATTCTCTGCCCACTTTCACTCTGCTGCCACAAAGATTATCCTAAGACTAGTTATCTTACTCTGGAAAGCTCATAATGCCATGTGTAACTATAGTATGCAGCAATTGCATAGCGATTAGTATACCACTACCCGATCTAGAGGATCTCATGATTCCCAACTATCCAACTTAGATGAACGTGTTCCCAACTTAGATTTCAGAGTTCATATTGGTGATGGGGGTAATAAGCTGCTCTTGCAATAATACTAGGAATTTACTGAGTTCTTGACATATATGATTTTTAGTTCCTGATACTATGCATCTGCTATCTAAGTTAGATTGTCTAGTCTTTTGAGTTGATTTTTCGTCTGAATGGATTCTGCTCACTGGTCATGCTATTCCTCCATATATTCCCGATCGAAAACTTTACTGCAAATGCAAACATATAAAATTTCTTTTGAAGGTTCATCTAGAGATTTTGTCTACGGTACGAATTAGAGGAGATTTTCTCAGAAAAAAGAAGTGGAAACTGCTACTCTTTCAGATGTTTCTTCTTTTTTTCTATAAGTAATTTTGTTATTTTCAACATCCCTGAGTCCTAGGTTGGAAAGACCTCAGCAGCCTGTTCCAGAGAAAGCTACATGACTCAGATGAATCATCAAAACCTCCATTTTTAAGCTAGAAGAAGTCAGCATCCTTAGTCACCTATTTACTTAATACCTGCTCTTAGTTTATCAAAACCTACCCTTCTCAACCCTATAATACCTCGGATAGGAGCACATGTGCATCAGTCTTCCGAGGTTAAGATTAATACTACATATCACCTTGTTGAATGTTTTAATTGCGATCTATGTGCTGCTGATGGTTCCATTTCTTACTTTTTTATGTTTTGACTTTGTAATAGATGGCGACAGCTGATGTTGAGAGAGTTGTACAGGGAGCTCTAATGGAAGTCGAGAAGAAGCTTCATCGCCAGCTTCCAGGAATCAACACACGCTCACAGCAATGTCATGTGGAAAATATGATCTGAACTTTTCCCATACTTGGCATGTTTGCCATATTTTTATTCTTTCTTTCTACAGGCAACCTCCAATAACATTCCAACTCTGTGTTGTTTTGTTTTGACTTTTCCTTAGAAGGTAGACAGTCGACCGGAGTTGCAAGTTGGATTTCCTTTCTGCACCCATTGCATTTTGATGTTCTTTCTACCCCGCATTGTACATTATCTCCGTTTAATTCTTATTGTTTGAGGTCAAATGTGCATGTGCTTCTCCATCTTGATTATTAATTATTAATCTAGTTGATGATAATAAATAGCAGCCAACTGCTATATCATGTCCTTTTATGTAAGGTTCGTTGTATCGTATCGTATTGATGTTTCGAATCGGGTTTGATACGGTACGGTACCGGTGTATCGGGTGGTACGTCTTGATGTATCGAATAATTTTTTATTTTTTTATATACTGTAGCACTATAGTGATATCGGACTGTTCGCGTATCGATAACCTATCGGACCGATACATACTACCCAATACAGACGATACGCTTCGGTACGATAGATTTTGCTTCTATGTAGCATATGATGTGTACATGTAAGAAAGGAAAAGTCGCTATTACATCATGCGTTGTCTTTTTAAATGTGATACTGTTGAAGTAGGGAGAGATAAATACGAAAATGTTCCAAGAAATCGGATCAAAGTTCGATCGGATCCGACCCGGATCAGGCGACCGGGGCCCATGGCCACGTGAGCCGTGGTGGCCCACGATCAGTCAGCGGCGTCGTGGCCCATGCGATGGGGGCCCCACGCCCGCGTCATCCAACCGCCACCACAAAACCCCATCTGGGGTCGACATGCACGTGGTGACGTGTCCCGCCGTTTCGCCCCGTCATCCCAACCGCTGCGACTTCGACGAAAAGCTTCTCTATCCAGCATCATCGGATCTCCGTCCATTGTGCTTATGGATAAATCACCATCGTTCGATTCTGCTAGACGAATCCGTTACTTGGAGAAGATCTCCTCTCGGAGAAGGAAGATGACAAGGAACCAACGCGACAACCCATTCGAGCAGGAGGAGAGCGGGGCCCACTCGTCATAGCCCATGACCGTCTGATCGAACTCCGGCGGTGGAGATCTCCTCCCGTGCCGCGAAGTCCACCGCTATATTTCTGTTCATTAAAATTACATGCGCTTTCGGAATCTAATTCTTTTATGCTGTGTTTTTGGATTAAAAAAGGATTATATATATATATATATATTTATGTATATTTTATTTTATTGCGGCCTCGAGTCTTTCCCTCGACACGGTTCCACCTCGGCAACCGATCCCTTAGGGTTTCCTTCTCACCTCTCTTCTATAGTGGGGTTTTACCTTCTCGTTTTCACCCTTCCTCTGAAATCTAGTATTTCTTGCGTATTTCTGTGTTAGTTTAGTTTGATGCAATCGGTGCAAGGCAAAAAAGGGCAGCTTTAGCTGGTCTGTATCGTCAAAATCGGACCTTGGAACCCCTGAGCTTACCTCTTTCATGGCGGTTTCTTGTGTTCGATTTTGGAGACTTCATGATTTTAATCTGTTTTACAGGAGATACTTCGATTTTCTTCCCCTTTTCTTTTGATTGAGTCGCATTTGGATCATAACATTTGCTTTTCACGCTTCGAGACTGAAAGAGATTAGCAAGACCTTCTGAAATGTGTAATTTTTGTTGCTCAGATTTCTCTGGTTCTCTAGGTTGGAACAGATGAGGGATTCGTGTCGTTGAAAGAGAGCCTGGAAGGGATTTGTTGGGGTTGCTGAGATGGAAGGAGTGGAAGACGCTAATATGGCAGCTGTGGAGAGCTGCCACAGAGTGCTGAGCTTACTGTCTGAGACACAACACCAACCCTTAGCTCACAAGAGTCTACTGGCAGAGACAGGAACTGCTGTTTCTAAGTTTACCAAGGTTGTTTCGATGCTTGGAAATGGTGTTGGCCATGCAAGGCTGAGGAGGCTCAAGAGTCCCCATCAGCTCCGCTTCAACCACAGCATCTTCTTAGACAACCCAGCTGCCTCCAGAGCTGACCCTTCTGCGGTGCTGCTCCAACTCCTTCCAAGAAACCTACTACAGAAGCCAGTTAATGAGTTGGGTTCCACTGCCAACATGCCTCCACAAATCCCACCAAGAATGTTCCTTGAGAACCCTGCATCGGAAATCCAAGCGACCCTCAGCAGTCCTACCCCCACTCACCTCCATTTCCTCCACCAGCAGCACAACAACCGTCTGCTCCAGCTTCAGCAACAGCTGAAGCTCCAGAACGAGATGTGCGAGAGGAGCAACGGCGGCTTGAACCTCATGTTTGACACTTCGAGTTGCACGGCGACTGCGTCGTCCTCTAGGTCCTTCTTGTCATCCCTGAGCATCGATGGAAGCATGGGGAGCATGGATGGGAAGGCCTTCAACCTGTTCGGCGGACCGCAGTTGTCCAATCCCATGAACTGGCACCCGCATGATAGAAGGTGCTCTGGTGGAGGAATTGATGGAAGCGGAGGCAAATGTGGGAAAACAAGCAGGTGCCACTGCTCAAAGAAGAGGTCAGGCCTTTCATGATTTGGCTTGATTCCTCCTTTCTTTGCAAGAAGATGTTGTCATTCAGAATCTTTTGATTGTTCTTTTGCAGGAAATTGAGAGTGAAGAGAACAATCAAGGTTCCTGCTATCAGTAACAAGCTTGCAGACATCCCTGCTGATGACTGCTCATGGAGGAAGTATGGGCAGAAGCCAATCAAAGGTTCTCCCTATCCTAGGTAATAGTTTTGTGGGCTTTGTGAAACACCTCTTCATTAAGTTACCTAATGCAAGAGATATTTATGGATTATTGCTTGATCATTGCCCTCAACATCATTGTTATCTATAAAAACAAATGATTGTGTATGAATTCAAACAGCCAGTGATAATAAACAAGTGTGGTATTTTTCATTTTCTTCTTCACATAATCAAATTGTATGGACTTAGTAGTTGTTTTGTTGGACTTCTTGAAAGCTTGGATAGCACATTTGTTTTACTTCTGACTGTTTCGGATCATTCGATGCTAATTAAGAACATGTTGGGTTATCGACAGTGTTGTTCTCCGTGACTTGTAAATCTTCATGCCACTAGTAAATGTCTCTACGGTTCGATGACTAGTTATGGATGCCATTTTGCGGTCTCATATTCACCTTTCAGTCACAAAAGCAATCTGGAAGGTTTTGCTAATAATTCAACCAGCTTATTGATTAAATAACTGCATTGTAGTTCTCTATGATGATACGGAAAGTGTTAGCATAATCAGCTCTCTTTACTATCTAATGTTGTTTGTCATGTTATTAGTTATGCCGATGAGCTTTGATTCAGTTCTAAAATATTATTTGAATGAAACCGAGCAGAGGATACTACAAATGCAGCAGCATGCGGGGCTGCCCTGCAAGAAAGCATGTCGAGAGGTGCATCGAAGATCCGACAATGTTGATTGTGACTTATGAAGGAGAGCACAACCATGCCAAGCTATGACTAGATCTGCTCACAGATAGAGGTTGGTGGAGGTGTCCTTAGCAATTAGTTGAAATGTGTTTTGAGCTTATCTTGTAAATACTCCTTGTGTTCAAGAAAAGCAGGTCATGGTAATAGTCATTACATGGTAAGTTTCCAGGTCTCTGGGAATCTGTGAGAGATGCAAGGAAGATGTACCCATAGTGCCTCAAAAGCATGCTACTGATTAGTTGAGTATTATGAGAACCATCATTGACATATTTTTGTGAACTTTATTTGTTTGAAGTAGGCTTGGTTGGAACTTCATAGAAGTGCTTTGACAGTAGAAAGCCATGGTTGTAAAGCACTTAAAAGCTTGTCTCATGCTTGGAAGAATAGAATCCTTTATGCAAAAGCCTGTGTATTATTGGCATTTATGCAGGTTCTGTTCTTGACACTTCATGGATTTGCTTATGGTCTCTATGTTCACCATCTGAACTTTGCTGTATGTGTCTGAATTCTGTACATCAAATTAGTATTTGGAAAGCAATGATATGAGCAAGATATCAAGGTCTTGCTCTTCATGACTTCCAGCTTATCCTCAACATGAGAGACATGAATGCTTCCTCACCAGCTCCACCAGAGAATCCATGGTGGGGCTCTTGTTGGGTTACAGTGCTATTATTCCATTGTTGGATGTGGCAAGTCATCCCCATGCACTGAGCAATGTGTTGTACTCACATTGATACACAAAATGCCAAACTGCAGCTGATGGCAGAGAGAAGAAACAGACAACTGAGTCTTCCTGCAAGCAGACACTGTCAGCAACCTGTGACAACTGTTCATCATACTGGTTTCAGAGACCAAATCCTGGTCTATAATATTATAATTTCAATTTCTCACACCCTTGTGTTTTCTTGTAATTTATCACTCAAATTACTTGTATTTATGAATGATTTAATAGGGAGGGCTCATAAGGCTTATTGTTATTAATATTTAGATGCTCTTATTAGTATACAAGTTGATGTTAGGTCTTGACCATCCATATTACATAGGCCAGTCATGACTCATTAGTTATTTTGCATCTATTAAGGTACTTAATGAGATCATTTATCTATAATAAATGAGTGGACATTTGTCCTAAACACATCCAATGGTTTTCCTCAATCAAATGGTTTAAATAGTTAAAAGTGGAAACAGAACACTGACACAGACTAGTACTCTCTCTCTCTCTCTCTGAGAAATAATAACATAGACAAACTGCTTTCCAAGAAAATTGATACAGATAGATACAGAACACACAGTATTTAAAAGCTGATGCTTCCATGCCTTTTGACCTGTACTATTTGAGAATGGCTTGGTAGGTTCCAAGACAATGTATTGTGGCCACCAGTGCTTTGTCTTCCCATTTGGTAATAAAACTTAAACAAATATTACTAACTAATTTTTGGAAAAAATAAGTTAAATGGTCAGTTTTTAATGATTCAACAAACTAAGTTGTCAATTGACTTTGAATAACTTGATATGCTATGATATTTCTACATTTAGTTGTTTGCTTCCATTTTGGTGAGGTTACTATTCTCATATCAAAATGAATCCAATGAAAAAGAGCTCAATACAGAATTGACTAATCCTACACCAAGACTTTGCATGTATCCATGTTCACTTATCTCCACAATTTGCAGTCAGTCTGCTGCTATAGGGTTTAAAGCAATTTAAGAACTTCATGTAGGTGAGCAGCAAACACACAGCAACATTGGTTTGAAGGAAATGAGAAGTCTCCCCCTGTAATCATCTCAACTAGAGCTTCTTCATCACAGAGATTTCCATTACTGGCTAACTATGTGTCTCTCACAACTATTGCTATCTAGTGTTAGTATGGTCTGACCTTGAGTAGTGATCCTGGAATGGAGGCCAACAACATTCCAAGCTTGCTTTTGTCAAGGAAGCTACCAGGTTTGGCAGAAGAACCAACACTATTGGCTAACATGAAAGACCAAACTTCCCTCAACTTATAATTTTTGAGCAGTAATAATGCTTCATTCCGTATATAGATGATCGAACACTAATTGTAAGCAAAGTTACAATAACAAAAAGCAGACCAAATGTCGAAGGAAAACAAGTCAACTGTATCAGTTTAAAACTCATAACATTCATAAACATCACTAAGCTGTTAGCTTCTTGGCATGGGGAGCATCCAATGGTCTGAGGTTAAGGCTATAAAAGAACCAAGTGATGGACTTCAACTGGATCTGACATTTCAGGAAAGATACAAGTGTTATCATGTCAAATGTGAAGCTCCTTTGAAGAAAGATAGATGAGAAGTTGTTCCCCTGTATAGACCTACCCTGAGCATGATTTATGATCAAAAGAATTTAAAACTCAACATGTTTGTATCAATTTTTGGAACTGAAAGGTATGGATTACACACTATTAATGCAAATCAAAGTGTGAGTGGAATCTAACTCGCTATTTAACACAGGATCTGACTGACCTATATACCCAAAGTCTGTTCTAGTGATAAAGGACAACACTGGTCATCTATAGACCCTTACACAATTTCCTCAGCTTGTTTGATACCTTTACAAACTCGGATACATGTAGCATTTATAGTGCTTATGTTTACTCACATAATTGATGGTACCTAGGATCAACCGATACACGTGCAATAGGTAGTGCTCATCTTCTCTTTTATATTGACAGTGCTTAGAATCAAACTTTTCTCAGTATCGTCGATGCCAAAATATACACTCCCATGTGAGAAATTGTCCACATCAAAATGCACCATCTACATTGTTAACTTTGTGATGCTAGACACTTTTTCATCCTATGAATAATGCTGGATGATATCCTAGAAGACTAATTCAAGGTATTCATAGATGAAAAGCTGAATGAGACAACTGCAAATGGACCAGAATTGTTCAGGATCAGTCAAAAGAACAGGCCTAATATTAAAGATTGGATTATGCATCTATGTATGTCATATAACTTTTTAAGCCTATTAAACAATATGTTGCATAGTATGTGTACAAAGACCATCAATCAACAAGAAGGTGACATGAACTCTACTTTGAGTTACGACTATGTGACTAGAAGCAGTTAATCTGCTAGTATACAATAATCAATTCTTCACGAAACTTGACATTCACAAGAAGAAAATAGAAGTACCATTGGGTACAGAGCAATCTGCAAAAGTTTACAATACTAGAGAAAAGATGAATTTAGATGGAAGTGGAAGTTTCCTCAGGACATTTGCCACAGATAACGGCATAAATATGCTGAGTAGAGAAATGATCTATTTGTGGTAAATAACATGTTTTTCTGGTAAGATATATTAGCTTGTCTTGTAGTGCATGATTCTTAAGATCTTAAGAATATACATGAAAGGCAATTGTGACAGCTACTAATATTCATGAACTAGATAAATTTTACAAAAAACACAAATTCATAGTCATCAGCGCACTGAATTGTCCACAACGAGTTCTTATCTGATGTCTAACAAATTCTAGCATCAGATGGGGACTCATAGTACATGAGTTCCAAGCAATTATTTGATGATGGCTATTTGTGCTTATTCTGTATATTTACATTGTTGATATGGCTTCTCCAGCTAATTATTTTCTAGCAATGCATTAAACTATTAAGGAAGCAGTTAGTTATAAGACCTAGAGACCATGAAGTATAAGATTGCCACAAGGAAGCATCACAATAAATTCTATCTCTAGTTGTTAGGTATTTATATCTGTGGACACTCAGTTATTTTAACCAATGCAACAATGTTAAATAACACTTTTTTGTAAAATGTAAGCATTGCTTTGTTGACTTTGTGAACATTAATTTCTTGAGTTATAATGATACAGAACGGTCCTGATTGAATTATTTCTAGTAAATACAATACTTGTAGGCCAAAGCATCAAGCTATGGTTCAAGAAGATGGACTAACTTTTACTGTAGAGCACCGACAAGAAATATGCACATGAAAGAATGACAACAGTGTCTAACTACAAATGGATCAGTATCTGCACAAGCGCGTACACCAGCGATAGAGAAGACTACAAGGACATACCAGCTGAGACACCAGTTCACCAGTCAACCTTGGGAAGAAATTACAAGTAAAACAGCCAGACCAAAAGAAAGGTTCTATCTAAGCATTCTTATATCTTGGGAAGTAATGACAGGCTTACTCTAAAAGAATTAGAGAGAAAAAAAACTTGTGTACAACAGTGAAGCTTTTAGATTAGACAACTCATGAAGGCATCATTAATAACCTTAGGAACCATAAGGATGCATCAAGATAAGATTATGACTGCCTGGTGCCGAACTAACTAATGGCCAGTATCAAAGAAAAGAACTATGAATTCTCATGTGGTTGATTTTGCAATCAGGCAATGAACTGATCTGCAAGAATGACTAATTGGAACAAGTAGAAGTAGGAGTAGAACATGCAAACCACAAATAGCTGCATGCCGATGTCCTTGCTTGTACACACTTTAAGTGATTGTCAAAAGCATTATGTTGTCCTATAAACACCTAGAGGCCTGTATATATATGTTCATCCAAAATACAAGAACTGGGTGCTAATGATTGCACTGAAAATTAGGTTAGAAAGTTACAGATGAAATTAAAATTTTGGGACTTTTTGGAAAATACTTCAGAGTTTGGATTATTGCTAAGTAGAAAAGGAATCAAGTAACTCAATTTTGGGAAAAGATCACATTGTTGAATTAGAAATTCAACTCGTGGACTAAAACAAGCTAATCACGGTAACTAATGAGCCTAGACACAAAATAGAACAACGAGATCCCCATTCCACGTTCCAGCAACGTGAAAATGTGCAAATAACAACAGGAAACAATCTTGGAATTAAATCTGAGGACGAATCAATCTGAAACTATGAACGAACTCATATCATTCTTCCTGAAATTTAACTATAGCGATAGAAAGCTGATACATGATTCAGATTACTGCTGAACGTATTTTCGATCTCTACAGAACTTGAACATGAAAAAAAGATCAATTCGATGCCCCAGAAGCAAAAAGGCAGTAATCAAAACCCAACCTTTCCACTCAACCTGATGGTTTCGCCCCACCCAGTCGCCGCCGGGTGCGCCTCTTCCACGGCTGCAGCACCGAATCCTGGAACCTAGAAGGCATTGCCAATTGCCTCTTCCCCCGCTTCCCCCTCGGACCAGCTTCAACTCCGCCATCCAGCTCCTCCTTCCTCTTCCCAATTCCCTCTCTCTTTCCTTCCTCCTCCCCGACTCCATTGCTTCCATTGTGCTCCATCTCCAAAGCTCTGTCTCCAAAGACTTCAATAACTGCCATCACCAAGAGATCGAGACCTTCACAACGACTCGAACAATCATTGGACGGAACGGGATTGGGATCGGGAATGGAGCTCAAAGGTGGAGTCTTTGAGGCTCGAATTCTCATTTGGAACCAGTTTCTCGGGATTGGAAGACTTGGTAAAAATCGGTGCAGGAGAAAGACGAGATTTTGGAGATCCTAATAGGATTGGAACCGCGTGGAGGGGATCGGAGGAGGAAGCCAAAGGGGATGCAAGATTTGGAGCAGCAGAGAAGCCGAGGGTGGAAATAGATGTTTGATTCATATGCCAGAAGTGTTGGCGTGCGTGTTTTGTTGTATGGAAGAGGGGTTGCGGCCATAAAGCCATCCTCCTCCGGAATTGCTTCTGTTTTTGGTGTTTCCGGAAACAAGAAACAGAGATTTTTGTTTTCAGTTTATTCTCCCCTCACTGAAATCAGAAAAACAAAAACAACCAAATAACATCTGAAATAAGACTTCGACCGAAATAAATACAGCATTACCAAATATTTCTAAATATCAGATACTTATTTTATTTATTTCTGTTATATTCGCCTCCAATTTTCCTGGAAAACGTTTTCATAAATGTGGAACAGAATCAGCAATTAAGGACAAATTTTGTTTTTTGGATTAAAAGCAGTGAATCGAATTGATTTCTGCAGCATCAGCATTGTAGACCATGCAGCTTGTTTGGGTCAATCATGTTATCCATAGAACGGTCCAAAAAGACACCCTTTGGACTTGGGTTGACCTGTGGCATTGCTAAATTCCCACAATCACCATTGACATTTGATGTATATATAGCTTGCTAAAAATGTCATTCATTCAATGTTGATGCTGTTTTTTGATGACATTTGTTTCATTTTTCTCAAATAATTTTATTATCGATAGTTCATCAAAGGCATTTGAATCTCGTCTTCATCATTTATTCTTTATTAGAAAAAAAATCATAAATTATCGTATATTTTAATCTACCAGAAATCAAAATAATCAAGACATTTATCGATTATTTACTATGTATTTGACTAATATAAATGTCCAAGTAACATCAATACATTGCATACAAATTTATAGCAGTGCTGCTATGTTGTGTACCAAATTCAGTAAGCAATAAATATTTATTAGAGAATTTTTTATTTTGATTTGCATAAAATAGGAAAATAAAAATATATGCAACTTTGATAATTAGAATATTTTCTGTATCTATTAAACTGTTTTCACAAACTTCAATTCTTATTTTTTTAAGAATAATTGGAAATTATTTCTTGGTGTCAAACAAACGGAATTTCCACCACGTGTGAACACTTGCCTTCATATCGGATGTCCGTTATTCGCAAGAGAAGATCCGAATCCGATCGGTAGGGTATATATATGCATCGCGGGATTCACTTCCCCCTTATCGGATCAAATCACAGCCGTCGCGTGCTGACCGCGCCCGCCGTTGCTTCTTCTGCTGGGGTTTTGAGCCGCTAGGGTTTCTCGCGCTCGTACTGGCGTCCCTCCCAACTCCTCGAAGTGTCGTTCGAGCCTCCCCCTCGGGATCTCTTCTCCGCGTCTCGTCACCTCCTCGGCCTCCATGGGGGGCGCTCGGACGCAGGTGAACAAGGCCCATAAGAGCCGCTTTGCCTCGAAAGCTTCTCGCCAGATTCACAGGACCTCGCGCACCGGTGAGACTGCCTTCTCTATCAGGAATCGGAGGATTTGACTCTTCCTAGCAGTTTTGGTTTTCTGTATGTTGATTCTTCTTTGGATATTCAGATAAGAGTCGAATTGCGAAGCCGGACTCCCACCGTGCCGCCGTGAAGGGCGCCCGTGCTGCTCGGATCCAGCGCAGCAAAACGGTATGCATGACTGACAACTATAACATTGTTATCGTTGCTTTCGAGCGTATTTGGGAATCCTTCTGCAATGTGCAAGTTCTTTTTCCTCCGGTTGCTGTACTATTATTGCAATTTCAGTGGAGTAAATCAAGAAAATGGGTTTCTTTAGTATAACAAACAGAAGTCTTGTTAAGATAGGGGAAATGTTTGAAATTTATGCAAATTCTAGTGTAGAACAAATTGTTGGCCATGTCTCGGTTTTGTGATTCTATAGCAAACTAAATCATTTTATGCTCTTCATCAGAAATTAGATGCATCTACCCAACAATAAATGGAGATGTTTAAATGAATTCATAAGGTGTTTAATAAGGTTAGTGACAGAAAAATTAAGAATGGTGAATATTTCTTGTAGTAAACGCTTAGTGTCCTAGATATAATTTCCACTAGCTACTGGGTTTCATAAATATTAGTGGGTTCTAGCACCAAAAAAAATATAGTACTATGATATATGTGCTACACTTAGAAACTCCTACAGTTCTGTTTTTATGTCATGTAGACTGTGTCTGGAGGTAGATCTTCTAATAGATAACGAGGGTGGAGATTTTGTTCAGATTAAGCATTTATTAACAATATTGTGCAGTTATGGGTGACAATGAGGCCTAGAGATAATGGCTTATGTATATAAAGAAATCTGGGGATGCCATTTTTTTTAATTCCATTCTACTTCCCTTGATTTTAACATTGACCTCTTATTTTCCTCCTTTTATTTTCCAACTTTTCTTCTTTGCTACCTATTATGCCCTCGTCTCTTGTTTGTGCTTGTTTTTCTGCTCACTACTGGTACAATTTGACCAACTTTTCTTTTTTCTGATGCCGTTTACGATTGACTCTTTAGAAACGGTTAAGTACTTGTTGTACATGTATGATTCAGAGCATTCATTAAGCTTCTGACTTGCAGTATTCGTATGCTAAGTTGATTTCACTAATCTCAGGAATTAAGCGGAAATTTTACTTTTGTTTTGTGACAAACAAACTCTTTTCTACTGTAAATCAGCACAACTTTTCAAGTTATATTCCATTTGCCATTGATGGTTGGAAATTTCATGATTATGTTTGCTGTGTTGGAAAAATCATAATTCATTTATGTTGGGATTGCGTATCACTATTTCTTTCTTTTCCATGTGGAATTTTGTAGATCCGCAATGAGAAAAGGGCTGCTTTACTAAAGGAGAAAAGAGCGTCAACTGGATCAGCTAGTCCTCCTCGGGTTGTTGTGAGTAATCCGTGATTTGTATTATATTCATTTTCTGTCATAAATGTTCCGTTTGATTATTTGGACTATCATTTTTTTCTGTCAAAGAAATTGCTAAGTTTGAGAACTGTAGTTATTCTATCAGTGCAGCACTGTGCTCTTTTTGCAAATTTTGGATCTATATACTGGTTAATCACTGAGTGGAAGTGTCATATTGGGTTCTTGAGGTATTTAAAATAGTTTACTTTTTCACAAACTCAATTGTTGGTTTGATTGGAAAGTTTCTTTGACTAAATACTCCAAATACTTGTTAAGATAATTCATCTAAGAAAAATTTTAAGCTGAACAATAATAGTCAAAGCACCTGAATCATAGAGTGCTTTGATGAGAGAAAAACTTCCTGAATCATTAATTTTTGCTCAATCAGTATCCTTTGTAGTGATTACCCCAATAAGGCGAAGCAGCTCTTATTTCCAGGTTTTGCTAGTGGTATAACTGGTGGAGACCACATCTTGTGGCTAACTTCTTTTATTTCTTCAAATGCATGTTGCTTTCTCTTTTGTTGCATGTACTCATAACTTTAGAGTTTATACTTTCTTTAGGTGGTTTTACATATCTATCCTTTCAAAGTTGGGAAAGAACATATTTGCCCCTCCAAATTAGTAATGTTTCATATATATATATATATATATATATATATATATATATATATATATATATATATATATATCCCTTCAAAAATTATAATTTTACACTGATTTGGAAAAAAAAAAAAGTACCCAGCATGCTTTTTTTACCAATTATTTGACTGATGTATCCCAACATTTTTAAGAGCGTATTGATGCCAATTTGATGTTCAACATTATTATGCTAATTGCTAACTGCAATGACATGTATGAAAATTTTTGAGCTTGTGTGTGTGTGTGTGCACATGCGCATGTGGGCACCCTTAAATTTAAAAGGGGCAAATACAAAACATACCAACTTTTGGAAGTATATATTATGCAATTTTGCCTTTTCTAGAGAAGTTTAGGCATGACCTTTGAAGTTAAATCTATTTTTTTTGTTGTTGGTGGCAGGTCCTTTTTGACCTTTCCTCATCTACAAATCTGGTTAAAGTCGCAACAGATCTCTTAACATTGTCATCAGAAGAAGATACAAAACCTTTCTCGAATACAGTTGCTTTCCCAACCTACAAATTTCGACTGACGGTTTGTTCCTCTTTTATAAACTCTCTGTACTGTCTTCCTATGGTTATCTGTGATCTTGTCATTCTACCTGAAAATTTCAACTTCTATGCAGTATGAAAGTCCATTTTGTTGTGCCATATTTCTTTTGGTTTCTTTATTTCTAAGCTACGAATTATATGAAATATATTTCTGAAACATGATATAATGAATGAAGGTCTTGGAAGCACCACATGGAGATTTATTGTCATGCATGGAGATGGCAAAGGTAGCTCATTTCTGTAGGCATCTAGATGGACTATTATTGTCTAGCACTTTGCAATTTTTTTTACCTCATCCAAGATATTTTCTGAAACAGGTTGCAGATCTGATTGCATTTGTAGTTTCAGCTAAGTCATTATATGATGGATATGAAACTAGTAGTTTAATAGATCCATTTGGGGAACAGTGTCTTTCCATCTTCAGAGCCATTGGTTTACCTAGTACTGCTGTCTTAATTCGGGCAAGTATTTAGTTGTACTAATTGTTCATGCAAACAAATTTCTCGCTTATAATAACTTGTGATATGATGTTTGAATACTTGAATTTACCATCAGGATCTTCCTATGGACATGAAAAGAAAGCAAGAATTGAAAAAAATATGCATTTCTCATCTTGCTTCTGAGTTGCCTGAAGATTGTAAATTCTATCCAGCAGATTCTAAGGAGGACTTGCACAAGGTAATGCTGCTGTAATGTTTGGCTAAAAACTAATTCTGATGGGATAAGTCCAAAAGAGTTACATGGTGCCATATTTTTTGGTTTCTCTAGTCTGGACTATTACATAAATCACAATTTGTATATTTTCCTTGTCTTGCAGTTCATGTGGCTTTTCAAGGAGCAAAGCCTTTCATGTCCTCATTGGAGGAATCAACGACCTTATCTTATGTCTCAAGAGGTAGGGCCTATGAATGCATAATTTTGTTATTGTATTGATTTAATGATCAACTAATATTGGTCAATTAGAATTTGTATTTTCTACCTTGAGGAGTAGCTAGCTTGAGAATGGAATGTAATTTTTAGCCAATCCTAGTGAGAGAAGGACCTGCAAATGGATATAGGTAGCTTAGAAGGGTAGTGAAGTGACCATCATTGCGTTAAGGGTAATGTCGAGATTCATGCCAGAGACATGAATTTGCAAATAAGTCCATGGAGGGTAATCTAAGAACTAATATGTTGAGATTGATATATAAAAAATTCAAAGGACTGTCTTGATGTCTAACATGAAATTTTACTTTAAAATTTCTGATTAAACTATTTTATATGCCCAATTATGTATCTAAGATCTAGTATGTAGATATTGATATATAAAAAATTCAAAGGACTGTCTTGATGTCTAACATGAAATTTTGCTTTAAAATTTCTGATAAGCTATTTTAAATGCCCAATTATGTATCGCCCCATTATTTATCATTATGCATTCATAATAATTCTGTGTTCCAGATCAAAATTATCAGAATTTATCAGCTTATCAGCACTAGGGATAAATTTTTTCTTGTTTTCAAGTTCATCGCTTTCAATATTTGAACAAATGCACACTTCATGCATTGCGTGTTTGTTTTTTCCCCTGCCTTTAGATTAATTTTCTGTGGATCTGATTTTCACTGATCATGATTTTGAAATGCTCCACTCTGCATTATGATGCACTTTTGTTTCACTAATCAGTTGACCTAGATTATATTGGTCGTTGAAGTTATTAAGGATAAAATGCCATGTTCTTTCTGTGGTTGACATATTGTTTTGTAGCATGCTATGGTATGCATGCACATGCCTTGTTATTTGTCATTACCAATTATGGTACATAATGGGTGGATGCTGGTTGGCATTTGTCTGTGCCTTGTCTATCACACTGGAGCAAGGACAGGCGATCATGCACAGCAAGGACATAGAGGAGGTGCTGAGCACATGCTTGGTACTTTGGTCCATTAGCAGATTGACAAAATTTTTCATATGGAATTGACAAGGAAAAGGGTTTTCTTTTTAAACTTATTTCTCCCTACAAAATAGATCAAATGTATACTCCAGTTCTATCTTAGATCTCATTCTGTGCATTGTACTTTTAGTTGCACTTCTTTTGTTGTTTGGCAAAATACTTTGTTATCTGGACTGTTTTATCATGATTTTTAGCTCTTAGATGTTTTATTTGGCCAAATTTGTTTGGACTTTGCCGACATCTTGAATGCTGTTATTTTAACAGGACAATCTGATGTTTTTTTGTGATACACAGTGTATTTATGTCTAATGCTCAATTAATTAACTTGTATCAGGCAAGTTTGGAACCTGATGAAAGCAATCCTGGAACATGTTCCTTGCTTCTGTCGGGTTATGTGCGTGCCCACAGTGTTTCCGTGAATCAACTTGTGAGTGTTATTCTTGGGCATCTTTCAATTCTTTTGTTTTAGTGCCTGTCTTTATAATGCTCTTTCAATCTAGGTACATGTTTCAGGAGCAGGGGATTTTCAGTTAGGAAGGATAGATGTCCTGAAGGATCAATGCCCTATGAGTGAAAGGAAAAGTTCTAACTCAATGGATGCAGATGATATGCGTGATTTCCAGGTACTAAACTTGAGTTTCTCTTTTCGAGAAGTAAGCGCATATGATGAGATCTTGTTTATGCTTTAAGTTGATCATAAAAGGTCTCATATTAGCTTTGTTAAACCATCGAAGTTCTTTATATAGAAAATGTGATTTGTAGTGGTTATTTTGAATTCAAATAGTTGGAGCAGCAAATAGATTTTCTGTGACTTAGTTTGCTCTAAGAAAGTGGTTCGATGCCCAATTAGTTTACATTTCTAAGATAATTTTAGTTGATAATCATCTTACATGTATCAGTGGCATTAATTGTTGTTTTTTAGAGTCAACATTAGCTGAAATTAAGTTAGTTTACAAGCATTGTCCTTTTCTGGTTTGAACATTCCGTTGAGTGACTTCAAGGATATGATACTCTAATTTTTTTCCTGTATTTCTATTATGCTTTAGTTCTCTGACAAGATGTGAATGATTATGAACCCAATGATAACTTTGTATGTATTACTTAAAATATTATAGCAGCATCTGTCAGTACAAAGGCTTGAATATGGGATTTTGCACAATATATGTACATCTTGTTGGCTCAGTATAAAATGTAGCAAGAGTATTTGCTGCTTTAATGAGAATGGTGCTGATAGACTGAGGCTTCAAGTGAATGGGACAGCTGAATGGTCCAATGATATCTGACAAGCTTTCGGGAGCTCACTGTGAAAAACATTGCAGGTGATGTAGGATAAAGATAAAGGGTAGGATCTTTGATGATGTATTATGATGCAGGAATAAGGTTGCTGGAGTTGTAGGCAATAAATAGAAAGATGAATTATAATAAATCAATTCAAGATATGAAACAAGGTATCAAAATAAGTAATCAGATGAATAGGCAGAAGTTTGCATGGAACAAGTGGAAGTTAGTCTGGTTCCTGGGAGTTATGCCTAGGGCGTTTTCTCACATCAAACTTGTTTCACGTGTGGATCGTGTCGTCATAATCCGAGTAGAGGAAAAATCATTTATAACAATATTGTCTTCAACTTAGTAAACATTGTTAAATTTTTTGAGTATGGTTAACCTTACTATTCTTACAAGATTCAGAGATCAACATTATTTCCAAAAGTAACAAACTCATAACATTTAAGATCCTACTTAAAGATGCATTTTCTTTCATTTAAAATTCCTAGTCGCTTAAAAATTTTTACAACAACTTATTACCTAAAAGAGGATTTATAAATAAGAATCCAACTCAAAATATAGATACTAGAACTTCTAGAATAAGACCAGAAATAATGACGAAAATTCATTTGAAAATGCTGATAAAATTACAATTCAGCTTGAAACTACACTTGACATTGTATATTGGTCAGACCGCACTCGGAATTTACCGGTTTGACCAAGCATTTAGTTTTAAATATGGATGACTTCTTTTTTATTTACCTAGCGGAATAGTATAGGACTGTCTATTACTGTACTGGATACATTTCTTTATTTGGAACATATATGGGATTTATCTTGTTCTTTCATATGTGAACTTTATTAGTTTCTGTAGTTTCATAAGTTCATTTATTCCCTTGTTTTGGAGATGAATCTAAATATTATCCATTTTTTGGTAAATTCTTTTATAGGATAATTTTATTAGTGATTCATGTTGTCAAATGTATTATAGAGTATGCCACCTGAAAATATATACAAGTATGCATTTAGAGGAGTTTGAATAGATTTTGTGGCAAACATCTGAATTCTCACCTACTTTTATTTTCTGAAGAACTTTTATTCCAGCTTATATGTTGCTTACCTGTCCCTTGGCTCTATCCATGGAATGCATTTTTTTAATTTTCTTTTGTCCTCATGTTATGCGAACTACTCTTAACTGGACTTTTTGCTTGAGATAATTTTCAGGTCATTCAGACCCTACTTCCAGATCCTATGAAGCAGGAACCTTTGGTTGTTGAAAATGTACCCGACCCTCTTGCAGGCGAACAGGTTAGGTTTAAGTTCACTTTTTGCCGGTGAACTTATATATGCTTTTTTACACTTAATTGCTTTTTTTTTTTTAAGATTATAAAGCAAGATCTATACATATTTGCTGAATTTTGTTGGCACTAATGCATGGAAAGGTTGCCATTATTTCGTTATTCCATTGCCTTATGATGCACTTCTGTTCCATTTTTTATCATGTGACCACGTCTCATTTATTTACTAGTTGGTAGGAAAGTTTTGAGTCATAAACTGTTGTACCTTACTGTTAATTTTGCTTATCTTGTATAATTCATGGCATGAGCTTGCAATGCTGATGTCTTTGGTAAAGTTGTTTTTGGTCTTTTGATGGCTATACTGGATGGATAGCCCTTCCTAAGCCTGCGATGAGTCATTTTCATTTCTTCATTTCTTGTTCTCTCTTTTGTTCTTTTCATACTGTGGTTGTCAGCATGGCATGTGCTGACAGCATGTACAGTTGCAACTTCAGGTTGATGGTAGGTTTCCCCATAGTAAATCAATTTATCTTTTTTGTAGCTGAAGTTGGTAATATTTTTCGTTCTTCATTGTGAACACGAAATATATCCTCCAATAAATGGTGTCAACTTTATCTTTTCAAGAGATCAAGGTTTACATGGCACCACATGAGTCTATTTGGATCTGCATGGCATGGTGGTGTGGCCCACAGTATGCCTTAGTGTACTAGTTTCTGACAGCCTGTAGTAGTGGTAGGTGCTGCCTCAGGTTTAGCAGAGAAATGTGAATTACTTATGTTGGCCGAGGTTTCTCCATACAGAATCATCCATTCTCTTTTTGACTTTAAAGTTTAAACATTAGTTTTCTATGTGAGCCTCCCATTTGCATAAGCTTGTAACATGCGAAATGTTTCACTTAGTCAATGCTTTTAGATCTAGCATCTTGATGCATGAGTAAGCTTCACATTTCACTCAATATTAGATGCATGAGTAAGCTTGTAATATGCAATATGCATTTTTGGGTTTCTGTAAACAAGAGTATGTTAAAATCTGCGTTTTCATGGAATTATGATTTTATGTTCTGCTTCATTCATGGTGAATTTATATCTGTAGTTTGTCTTAAATAGAAACCTCCCTAATATGTGAACACGGTGATGTTATGCCAAACACCAGGCATGAATTTGTGATTCTTTGGCCTTGTACTTAAGCACTTAGGCGTCTAGTATTCTTCTTTTTAACCATATATGTAAAAGAGAGGAAATCCATGAAGAACATTGCAGAAAATACAAACCTTGACATGCCATCTCGGCTCCACTCTCTATATGCCACCCCTATGTTTGGCCATATCGATTATCACATACGCGTTTGGTGCTTGGATAACTAATATTAATTAGAAGCCAGTTCAACTTCTCATGATGTAGCAGCCAATAATCTTCTTCTTGCAAAGAATAACTTTTATCATTTGGCGCTAGTCATGCATATTTTTTTGACTGCAACTAGAGTAAGGAATTGGAATATTATAGTTATACAGTTAAATTTCATAGGTAATGCAGAACATTGTGTCATCCTATTGCATTTAGTTCTTATTTTGTAACAGTTGCTTCTTTAGGGTAATTGCTGACTTGTTTATGTTAAATAGACATGGCCGACCGAGGCAGAGATTGCTGAAGCTGATATAAATAACAAAGAGCAGAAGTTGATTAGGAAGAAACTTCCTCAAGGCACCTCAGATTACCAGGTTTCTTCAACACCTGAGTTTTCATATATCTGTTTGCTGTCTTTTCCTTGTACAAGTGAAGGCTGGAAAGCTTTATCATGCACTTCTTTCTTGTCATGGTTTGCAGGCTGCTTGGATTTTAGAGGATACAGATGATGAGGATTCAGACAATAGTGATGAGGAGAGTGATGGCATGGTATTGGATGTACAGAAAGATCAAACGACACAGGATGGTTCTGATAATTCAGATGTTGATGAATGTCAACTCATCAGCGAAAATTTTGATGATAGAACTGAGGCTGATACCGAGATGGCTGTGAGTTTTCATGTTATTGCTGTTCTGGGAAAGTTGATACAGTATGATAATTATCATATTCCACATCATTTTAGATTGTATCATATCCTTTGAATTCCTGTCCACATATTAGTATTTGGTAGCATCTATTGATTTCCAAGTTAAAATGATGTGGGGTAAAAGGAAAAATAGAACAAAAAACATGTAAGGGACTGGATGGTTGATGTTTAGTGTGTATTGCTTGATATGATTTTGCATGTAAGGAACAAAAAACCATACTTTTAACATGTTTTTGTTATCTTTTAGTTGAAAGTTTGCAGAAAAAGGTATGAGATTGTCTGTGATGAACATATTTGGTCTGGCAGCTTCAGCCTTTTACTTATGGTTAAGTTTCAATGGTGTTACATTTCAATAACTGTTTCAAGAAGGCTGATCTTATTTCCTTCAGCTGAGCATTAGCAGCTCAAGAAGTCAAACAGAGTTAAAAAAAGTCTTTTAGGCAATCCAGCTGAAACTTAACATTTCTAGAGTCATGAAAACTGGCTATAACTGAGCAGGAAGTAAATTGACCGAATTAGCAAACTAAAGACAGTTTAATATGTGTTTTGTTCGAAACTTGAGCTGCCGCTATTGGCAGTCATGCACATTTAGTTTTATGCAAAATAAATTGATATTTCATATTAATTATCATATTTCCCCTTGCTTGCTATATGATGCTTTGTTGTAGCTTTACTGAAAACTTTATGCATGGTGCTCATGTGGATCATCTGGGTTTCAGTTCTCTTTCTTATTATTCATGTGCATATTCTTATAAATTTATATTTTTATACAACTTTCTAGTTTTTAGCATATATTCTTTATGTAAATTAATGATAGTGCATTTCTTTGGGTTTTATTATTGGTACATAATGTCAGGGGAATTTACTTACATGTTTCAGGATGAGGAAAGCTTGACAAAGGAGCAGATTGAGGCAGAGATTAAAAAAATTAAGGAAGCATATGCTGATGATCAAGGTATTTATTTACTGTCATGCCTTTATTTTGTTTGGTATGATGTGTGTTACAAAGTAAACAAACTCAACATTAAAATTTATTTGTTCTGTTCACAACAGAATTCAGATATTCTATGGTAAACCTTTTGTCTGATTTTAGCATCTTAAACATATATCGACCAGAAATGGTTTTGTTGAAAAATATGAATAATGAATATGTGATGGTAAAGAGGATGCCCAAACATATGGTATGAGTTGAATCTGTTTCGTGCTTACCTGCTAAATGATTTAATGAAGTTTGCACATTTTCACTTCATCTATTGGCCGGTAACAACATAGTTCAAGCCTTCAATTTCCTACTAAAATTTTTTTCGTAACTTTTTGTTGATGCATAGATTAAATTCTAGACAGATTAACAGAAACCTGAAATTGTTTATCCTTTCTTGTATCAGTAAAATATCTGAAGATTTTTGGGTGCACATGTTTTTGATGTTCCAAATTACTTCATTTGTTCGCAGAATTTCCTGATGAAGTGGAAACACCAATCGATGTTCCTGCTAAAAAGCGTTTTGCCAGATACAGAGGACTGAAGTCTTTCCGTACGTCTTCATGGGATCCTAAAGTGAGTATTCTATCTTAATTTTTTAAGTATATTTATTTATCTATCTCTTATATGCATTGTCTTTGTTATTGTCATTGACAGGAGTCATTGCCACCTGAATATGCTAGAATTTTTGCTTTCGACAATTTTGCTAGAACACAAAAGAATGCCCTTGCAAAGGTTCTTGATATAGATGAAGGGAGCGTGGATGACTGTGCTCCAGTAGGATCCTATGTAAGACTCCACTTAAAGCATGTGCCATTGGATCTTGCTACCAGGCTATGTCAACCATCAAAAAAGTCACCTGTCGTAGCGTGTGGGCTTTTGCAACATGAATCAAAGATGTCTGTCCTGCACTTCAGGTAATTCATTGTATGAAAATTTCAATTTTCTAGACTTGGTTGGAAATATATTTGATTGTGGTAGTATGTAGGAAGTTGATTTTGATTGTTGTCCTTAAATATGTGATTTGGATTTAATTTTGTTAATCCCATAGATCCTTGTGGGTCAACTTACCTTGAAAATCGCTGCTAATTGTTCTTACATCACAAATTCATGATCACCGAGAGTTTCATTTCATCTGTATTCTGCAACAATCATCACAAAAATTAAATTCCATGCTTGACATTTCATGTTTAATTGTTTTATTAATGTAAACCATGAAAATGATGCCTGCTTTTGGAGACAAGTAGAAATGTAGAAGGCTTAATAGAAGATTCTAAAGTGATGTATGATGGGGGATCTCAACTTAATAGCTGGAACATTTCATCTGTATCATTGCATTCGTTTATCATGCAACCGAAATGCAATCCTCCTAAGTTCTGTTTACGTGCTGGAAGTTAAGAAGCATGAAGACATGTAAGCTATATTCAGAATGTTAGACTATATCCGCTCTTTGATATGCATGGATTACATTGTTGCTTGATCAGTCTTGCTGAAAAACCTCTTATGTGATGTAAAGTTTGAATTTCAAACAGCATTTACAATGTCTTTTTTCCTGTTTTACAGCATAAAGAAACATGACTCATATGATGCTCCTATTAAATCCAAGGAGATGTTCAGTTTCCATATGGGGTTCCGTCAGTTTTTTGCAAGGTAAACTCCTGAATTCTTTGGATATAATTTTAGGTTCTCCCACTCCATGCAGATCTTGTCATTAATCTTAAGATTCTGGTCTGAAGTTGAAGAATCCTCAAAATGGTCTTTTTGCAGGCCATTATTTTCTTCTGACGACTTAAACTGTGATAAGCATAAGATGGAGAGATTTCTACATCCGGGGCGTTTTTCAGTGGCATCTGTTTATGCCCCTATCAGTTTCCCTCCCTTGCCATTGATTGTCCTGAAGACTCAGCATGGAGAACCTCCTGCTCTTGCTGCCATTGGTTCACTAAAATGTGTGGATCCTGATAGGATAATTCTGAAGAAAATCATTTTAACTGGGTAAATTTATCTTAAGCTCTGTTTTTCTTCACATGGTAACTTTAATTTGTAGATCTACATGTATGAGTGATAATTATATATATGGATATATGCTATGAGAGTTAAATATCCATGATGTTGTGTGTCTTAACAAAGTCCTATGTACCAAATCCAGGATAAAACCTCTGTTAAATAGTTGGTTATCCAACATCTTCTCAAAGAACTATTGTGGTCCGAAATCAGCTGGTTCTTAACCTAGGGTCCTAATAGGTTACTGTAGGAGAATGTGTCTGATGTTTAAGGAATAAGCAATCCTTTCTTCTTTCAAAGTCCATGGAATTCTTTCTTCACCTAGGGCCCTACTATTACTGGTGCACCTTTGCCTCATTGATGCTTAATGTCGTCTGAAGCATGGTGGTATAATACAAAATGATTAATTTGGAGTCATGCATCCATGAGCTTCAGCAGCGAGCAATGTTCTAGTGGCATTGTTCCTCAGATCCATACATAATAGCATTGTGCTTCCTTTTCATCTTTGTTTCAAAATAGTTTGAACCGGAAGCTTTTTTGATGCAGTTACCCACAGAGAGTATCAAAATCGAAAGCCATTGTGCGGTACATGTTTCACACTCCTGGTGATGTTAGATGGTTCAAGGCAAGTGCTGCAGTTAGAACTGTTGACAAGGTGCTAAAAATAATGTCCATGATGGATCATGTTCTGATGCACTTTATTCTCTGTGTATGCAGCCAGTGGAGATATGGACCAAATGTGGTCGCCGTGGTCGCATCAAAGAACCTGTTGGTACTCATGGTACGTATATGTTTTGTAGTGCTACTCATATCCAATCAAACTTCAATTTTATTCGATTGATAAATACTCACTGTCCGTACCCTAACTGCTTCGCCTGCCAGTAATATGTTTTGTTTTTTTGGGTCGAGGGAATCATGGTGTTCTTTGTGTTCTTCAGGGGCTCTGAAGTGTGTTTTCAATGGTGTCATTCAGCAGCATGACACTGTATGCATGAGCTTGTACAAACGTGCTTACCCCAAGTGGCCGGAACAATGCTATCGGTCGTGTGACACCATCTCTCAAAGTGGCATGGTTTCAGCGTAGAGACGCAACATGCCTGTTGTTGGGAGTGAAGCTCTGGTTCGAATGTCTTCTACAGAATTAGACTCTGCATAGAAATTATACTGTATTACACCCGTGTATTATTTTTGCCCTCATCTTTTATTCATATAGTGCTTGCCCGTTTCCGACACGCTCTGTGTCGGTATATGAGGCAAAGGTTTTGACTTGTGATTATGAGTTGGAATGTGTTCTTGATAACCATATGGATGCGGATGCCAAGATAGTTAATGGTTGTGATCATATTATAGTTCTCCCACATTTTTTTTATGAATTCTGTATCGTAATCCTTTGCGTCTTGAGTCAACTGAAGCGCTGACGTGAAACGGGGCTCCTCTTGCAACACTAACTTTTATCCCTGGAAGTTGAAAAGCTTGTGATGTAAGGCTTAGAACGGAATCGCCGAGAGGCACGCTTTCTACGCCCACGAAAGGAAGCCGAAGAGGTAAACGTGGGGCCATCTTCCCTCGATCGCGTCCCCAACTCCACTGCTCATTAAAGTGGAGACCAAATTGGCGTCATTCCTCTCACCAACCAATACGCGACACGTAAGCCGATTTGATGTCTCCTTTACCTAAGATGCCGCCCTCCCTATGAATCGCTACCACAGCGGCGGAGGTAATGACCCGTGCGGCGTGGCAGAACGCCCCCACGTGATCACTTCTCGCTTATTCAATTTTCCACCACACGTGGCGACGTGCCACAGGCCACTCCTCGGACCTATCGCCGCTCCATCTGCGTGGCTGTCTGTCTCGGCGTCCGCTGTCGGGAATTTTCCTGCGCGCCACGAGTGCCGTCTTTTCTTCCATATTTGTTTGTTTTATCATCATTATTATTATGGAAAAAAGCCCATAAAATTGACGTCCGAAGAAGATAAAAATGAATCGCCGCGTCACACGCGCTAAGGCTCGGTGCTCGTCGAGTGCCGCGGTCCGGTCAACGTTTTCCCGGCTTAACTGACGGAAAAGGAGCGACTTTTGGGAGAAGCTGGCGGGCCCCGGCCGCTCCTCTTGCCGCCTCCATAGAAACCGCCCCGCAGACTGGCCCCACCGCACCAACTTCGCCGCGGCCTTATACGGCGCGTGTCGCAGGCGGCCGCTTTCCGTTTCGCCCTTTGTATAAAATCCCATATATATATATTTCTCCGACGTCGTGATGGAGAAGAAGGCGGTATGGCGGGGGACCCACTTTTGCCATGCGTTTTTATGCTACCTTCCGTCGCTTCGTACTCGGCGACGGCCGCCCTCGTGGGCTCGACGCGTGCGTGCGTGCGAGAGCTGCCGGCCGCCGGTTTGTTTCCCATTTCAAGAATAGGGGCAAGAAGAGGGCGTTAGCGTAAATACAACGTCATTATGACGAAATGACAAGAACAGCCTCCACACGCCACGTAAAGCGCGAGCCGTAGCACGAAATCCGGTATTGGAGTAATTATCGTGTAGGCTCGGTGGGTTTTCCGTCAATTGGATTGGAAAGAAGCTGTCGGCCACTAACGACTCAACACGCGCGTCACCCACCACGGAGGGACGAGTCGGCCCGGCGATTCCAGTGACCAGCTAACTCGCTGATCCAACTCAGTTGATAAGAGACTGTACAACAAAGGCGAGTCGGCTTTAAAGAAAAGCGAGCAATAAAAACCGGCGCGGCATAAAAGGAGGGAGAGTGGGGAAGCGATGGAGCGATGTGGGCCGTCCGATCTGACTCAGAAAAAAGGAGCGGGGAGATTAAGATCAAACGAGAAGGGCGGCTTCTCCTTCCCCGCCTCCGCCGCTGCCACGGTCTTCCTCTCCTGTTCCTCCCTCGCCGCCGCCTCAACCACCTCGAGTCGGTACCCTGCGTACCCCGATCCGCCGCCCGCCGCCGCCGGCGTATGCCCCATGGACAGATCCGCGGCCGATCGCCAGCGCGTCACCGCTCCCCAGCTGACCTGCGCCGCCGAGGGCGGGACTCCGAGGTCGCCCGGGCAGCCGAAGTTGGTCTTCGCCTTGGGGCCGCGGAGGCTGCGCGCGGCCTCGTCGTAGGCCCGCGCCGCCTCCTCAGCCGTGTCGAAGGTGCCCAGCCACTTGCGGGTCTTCTTCCAAGGGTCCCGGATCTCCGCCGCGAACCGGCCCCACGGCCGCTTCCTCACGCCCCGGAAGTGCGCTTCCCTCCCTCCTCCTCCTCCCTGCGCCGCCGCCGCCATCGCCAGAAGACGAGCACAAAGAAGACTTTGAGGCGAAGCGAGGGAGGCCGGGCAGCGTATTTATAGCCGGGAAGTCGGTCTTGGTTCCGCCCGACAGGTATTCGATATAATTTCGATTTATTTCGCCATTTACTATCGAGCTTTGTTTCTATGGTCGCCATCAATATGCGCGCATTGAATGGACGGCGGTGATTCCCCCGCGGCGCCACTGTTTGATCCGGTGCCCCCACCAATCCACGGGAATCACGGAGAGAAAAGGAACGGGGCAGAGCCGTCCAAGGCCCAACGGACGGCTGGCGACGTGGGGTGCCACACGTGTTCGGATAACCTCGATGCGGTCTGCGGCTTGACGGAAACACCCCCCTCGCCCCCGTCCTGCCTACGTGACGGCCACGAGCGGCGAAGAAACCACCCGCGGAAAGATCGAGATGGCGGGTTTCGCCGTACGGCGGGTGGGGCCCCACGCGGGTGCGGGAGACGGGGCGAAAGGGAAATGTATTGAGAAAACGCTCGCCGTCCCCCCGGGACTTGCGTTCGGACTGTTACCTGTCTCGTTATTGGAGGAATGCTCAGGCGGGCTCCACCCCTGGTCCCTGTCTCGGTGGCGGGTACCTCACGGGGTAACAAGTTAATAAGTTGACTTATATACGTGGGCGACGGGGCGAAAGGGAAATGAGGACGTAAACGGTTTGCTGCTCCATCGAAGTTTCGTGGGGGCGTCGTTACCTGACTCTTGATTGGTGGAATGTTGAGGCGGGCTCCATCGGGTCTCGGCCTACATGGCTACAGGGCTGGTAAGTGAGGGGGTAAGTAGTTAGTAAGTAGATTGGTAGGGGTGAGTGGGTGCTTCTTATTACGTGTGACGGAAGCGGGGTAGTGCGTGTTGGGAGAGTAATTAAGAAGGCACTGTCTTTGTGGGCAGAAAGGGCGGATCCGACGGCGCCGGCGGATGAAACAAGTAATTAGAGACATGGAGATCAAGACACGTGTCTCGTGTGCCAATATCGTGGTCCCGCCGCTCTGCCTATGTCCTTTTCGGAATTTTAGGTCGTTGACCGTCATTTTTAGCTGCAAAACAACATGTGGGTTTTTTTTGGGTTGCGTCGTACCGAGATTGCGTCTCTTCTATGAATCCCGACATCGATGGGGGAGTTGTCCTAAAATTTTTCTTTCTTTCTTTTACTTGTGGGAAAATTAGAGCATAATATCTTTCTCGAATTTTATGTCTTAAAAATTAATTTTAGAAAAAAATTTGCATGGAACTGTTGGTTTAGTTGGCATCAATTTTTCAACCAGGCAAGAAAAAGTCAACAAGGACGTCAGATAAGACCGCTCACGCCGGGTAGAAATGATGACCGTTATCTGTAGGTAATTGAGAAGACTGCGAGCCTGTTGCTGGTTTCACCAAAAGGTTGACCAGCGACTCTTTTTGTTATTACCAATGTTCTAAGTCGTTAATCTAGTGTATCATTCGACTAGAAAGAAGAGAAAGAGGACTCAGAGACGCAAAGAGCTACCTCAACTTTCTCCTGCATTACTACTTGGAGAAGGAATGAACCGAACAGGAAAGTTGCTGCGGCAGCCAAATTAGCAAACGAAGAAAACGTGATCTATCACCATGTTCCTGTTCATCTTGCATCAATGAGAGAATCATTATTAGGTTTACCTACCTGCCAACTTGTGCAAGGAACAAAATAATATGAATAGCTAATTACGTAAGTAAGACATGAACCCAGCTATGAAGTATGGAAACAAATTGCAAAATCCCTGGGAAGGGACTAGCTGTAAATGTACACCCGTGTAGCGCAAACATAATGAAGATCAAAATTGGGTGTGGAACATGCTTCAGTTTAACAAGAAGCTTCTTTAGAACCATATTTTACAAAAAAAGAACACACTACATTACAGAAGATCATTACAAGTATGCAAACATTATAATTTTAATCAGAACTAAATTAATTTACGGCTCAACATGTGATGCACAGTAAGTGTAGTAAGAAGAACCCATAAAAATATAGGGAGATATCACCAATTGTGCAGCTGAGAAGCAGTACTTTTCACCAATGGATGATATTCCGTGTGCAAGAACCTTTTCGCCTTCTCGGAACCAGGTTGTCCGAGCCACTCATCATACAATCTCTGCACAACTGGATTATCAAATGGGTCTGCAAGTTCTACCTGTGTCAGTGAACAAGGAATTATGTCATAAATGAAGCATAGCACCTCAACAACTTGCAGGCTTTTAAAGATATGTGAGATTATGTAGACACATTTAAACAGAATTCCAATTACTCCTCTTCTCAGTAGGTTGGCCAACAGCACAATTGATATTAAAAGACTTTCTTTCATGAGTTCTGGGAAAATGAGTGAAACTATCATCAAGCCACAGAAATTGACGGTCAGTGGAGGACCTAAAGAAATGCATGCTTAGTACAGATTGCATGTGATGTCACAAATGTCTTCTGACTAACGAGCTAAAACTACATAGCTTTGGCCTTTGCACCAATGTCATCAAGGTTTTTAAAGACCAGACATCGGACCAAGACACATTAAGACAAGGATCAGGTATAAGTCCAGAGTATACATGTAGAGTTGAGAGAGGCACAATAACATTCTATAACACAGTTTGATCTTACCTGAATTCATATACGTTACAATGTACAGATCGAATTTTAATTCTATGAGCATAACCCTGCAGAATTCCTCGTGCTGAATGAATTTAAGACCATACTAGACAAACTTTAGACCATATTTTGTCAGAGTCTAAGAGTCATATTTAGACATAAACTCATGGGATAAATCCTTTAGCATATGTTGTCCTTTAGCATGTATATCAGAAAATAACATTTGAGAACGTGAGATGTATATGATGATTAATGCAGACCTTGCTTTAGCAAAATGTCTGGAGACTGGCTGAGGCATTAGTATCTTTAAGATATCACAATTTCCTGTAATATGTTGCTTATAGGCCAATGCAACTCTCAGGCAATATGCCTAGGTATATCACCGAGGTGGTGCAAGGATGCTGATTAATGGTTCCAGAGTAACACTCCTTTTCATTGTGCTTAGTTTGCATCACTTGGGACAGGACTGTGCCGAATAACATGTACTATGCTGGCATGTCAATGTTATGAGGAAATATTGATATAATTGGGACTGCATAAAACATATAAACAAAATTTTCTAAGATGAGGAAACAAGATGCAAAAATGTCCTAATAACACGTGCAAATCATTCTAGCCTTGTCATATCATGATAAAAAGTGTACATCGTTCAAAATCATAAAAGATATTCACGAGAGAACTCACATCTTGCATATACAAAATTTCTAATTGCTGGATAAGATCTTTGGTAGACTGACCAGTCCTTGGTTTTATTTGACCTCCCCCATTCAAACAGCCTGATAATGAGAAATTACACATGGTTAAGCCTGTCAATCAAATTTTCACTTGAGCAAAAATCTGCAGCTAACACCAAATGGAGCATACCTGAAGGACATGCCATAACCTCAATAAAATGATAGTCACACTTTCCCATTTTAATCTTCCTTACAATGTTCTGCAGATTTCGAAATCCATAACAAAGTGCAAATTTCAGGACTGTTTCGCCATCCACCTGAAGAATAACATATAATAGAATATTACAAATGAAAGCTTTCATAAAATTGAAACAAGTTAGAAGGAGAGAGAGCTTAAAACATACCTCTAATGTCACTTCTCGAAAATCTGAATTGCGGATATGTCTGAACTCAATTGGTCTTTGAATTTCTCTTCCAAATAGTTTTTGAGCAGCATGGCAAAATACTGTCTCTGCATATCCTCCAGAACCACCAGAGACCCCAAAAAGATGCCCTTTTTTATCAACATTGGTTAACCTGATGCACATAATGGTACACTAATAGCATCTACCAAGCTGACATGAAAATAATAACCATTCATACATTTAATATTGAGACTCTAAAACATGTCACAAGTGAAATATGGTCAATCAGGTTAGCTCAGTCTTCAAAAGCCACATAAAGGTATTAGATGCACACACATCCATGAGTATTTTACACATTCAAGAACAATAATGGGCATCAAGAGCAATGAGAAAGGATAGGATTCTTACATGCTATCTAGAGGAGATTCTTTCAAAGTCTTGAAATCAATAGATTTTGACTGCAGTTGTATGTAAAAGGTTATAAGAACCTCAATGACTGATTTGATGAAAAAAATAGATAATTAATATGTGATGATATAAAGGAGTATTCCAACCTGTATCAAGTCTAAAACTTCTCCGGTTGTCAAAACTGAATCCACCTCTGGTATCGTCATGACTGAGTTGGGTCGACCATTTTCTCCCTTATCTATTGTAAAGGAAAAATCATCCCTGGCAGCTTCAAGTTTTTTATCATAACAAGGCATCACTGTGACATGGTAGACATTATCCAGCCTACAGGACATTCATAAATAGTTGAATGACATCTTAGTATGTGTAGCCAAGAAAGAACTTCGATAATGCAAAGCAAATTATAAAATAAAATTGGTTAGTCAAATTTCATTAAGTATTAACATGAACAAGCTTCCATGAAACATTCTCATGGAGTTGATGTAGTTGAATAAGGAGCAAAGTAAAATAGGTTCTTATAAGATATAGCAATATTTTACCAGATAAAAAAGATGATTGCACTTTGTTGAAAGGGCATGAGGATAATTGAATAAAGTGAAAAAGCAAGTCTTTATAACTTATAAGTTCAAATATGCTACGTATCAATCAGAAATTATACTCTTCCAAGCGACTGATTGCCAATCAAGAAATGCATGCCCACTTCCTCTAACACATAAAACACCAAGCTCAAATAAAATAATTGGTAGATTATTCCACGGTTGAACTTAAATCATGCAGCAAATAAGGTGGATCTATTTCCCTCCAATTAACAAACTCTAGATATTTCACAAAAAGAAAAAGTTCCATTTACAACAACTTGAAGTTTCATGTATAAGCATGTTGATTGTCATATGAGCACATAAAAGAAAAGCTTACTTAAGGCCAAATTTTTGCACAATGTGATGCTTGATAGCAGCTCCAATAGTTTGTTGTGGGCTCTTCACATGTGAAATATATGGCAAGATGTATGATCCAAGTGTCTTTTCAGCATAGCAGATCCAACCTGTATTAAAAAATTATTTTAACATATATGCAACAAACATTAAGAATAGCAACCTCAACAGTAATATAATGTAATAGCAGAGAGCATAACTGGCTTTATCCCGCTATGACACTGTAGTCTTACACAACTATTCACAAAATAAAGAAAAAAAAACAGATGTTATAGTTATATTCTAGAATAAATGCAAATTTTTCACAATATTAATTCTCTGTAAAATAGCAATCTTGTTCTAACATAGATACAAAAAAATTAGATTGCAAAAGAAATTTCACAATATTTAAATTTGTATTTCCCAAATTTTGGTTTAAAAGATAGCATAACATTTGGAGCTATAGAATTAAGGTCTTGCACAAATTATGAATAAAAATCAAGTCACAACACATTGTATCCAAGAATCCAACAAACAACGAAATAAAGAAGTTTGACTAACATGATATGAGTGTGCAGTTCATAATTGTTCATGACAAGTATCTTTATGTAGAATTTACCTGGACAGGCAGATGAAAGCATGGGGAGACTTTGTCCATGCTGTTGGTACCGCGATATAAACTCATTACATGACTCGATGAGAGACAAATCTCGACTGCAACTAGTATCGTAAACAGCTTTTGCTCCCAAAGATTTGAACAAAGTGGTTACTTTCCTGAGAACCTGAAATCACATAAAGAATTACATATGCCTGTATATCACAAATGAAAGAGACATGCCACTACCACATAAAAGAAAAGGGAAATATGACCTGAATTTTAAGAGAAAATGATGTAATATCCTTGAGTAAATGTTCACTAGAATAAATCACATGCAGTACAGCTGCTGGTTAATAATATTTCTTTCTCAAAAGTTGCTGTTTTCTCTATTCTTTTTATGACAAGAAGAGGAAGTAGAAGTAAAGAAGACAGATACAAACACAATGCAGGATCTATTTGACCAGGCAAGCAGTTTTCTTCTTTAAAAAAAACATAATAATGATGGAGGACAAAGTCCACATCAAGGAGATGCTAGACAAAAGCCTCAAGTTCCTCACCAGTAATAAGAAAATTTGTGCCTACATATATTATAAACTTATCAAGATTGATAAAAGAAAACAAAAGAAAGAAAAAAAGACTCGCTATCTATATCCTTCATTTCTCAGTATAATTTCACAAAATAAAGCATTCAATGTAAGGCAGGCTATTGTCCCTGGCAGTGCCCCCTTCTTCTTCATGTTCAGGGATCAAATAAAAAAGAAGAAACTAACCGTGAAGAATTTGGAGCATTTACAATTTGCTTCCACTTTTTTGATACTAATACTTTAGTCTTCTTCAAATAAGAAAAACATTTTCTTGTCAAAGGACTTAACACTTTCCAAAAAATAATAACAAGATTAAATAAAATGTAAGCATGATCTTGCAGCAGCAAAACAGACATACAAAACAGAAATGCTACAAAAATCAGGGATGTAGAAGCCCTAACTCTAGAATGACAACAAGATAAAGTTTGCTCTCATTTCCTCTTCAATTTAAGCCCAAACAAAATATGGCACATTAGAAATGCAACATAGATCAAGTCTTTAAGCTCAAATTGCGAGCTAATTATAGATTACCCCTTGTAGTTAGCTATCTTTAGCATCGCGGTATCTATACTTTAAAAAACTATATTAGCATCCCTATAGTTTTAAAAGTAAAACATTTGACACTGTTTCTTCTTACGCCGTCAACTCTACTGACAGAAGATTACGCACGTGCTACCACATGTAGAGATGGTAAAAAGAGGGATAAAAATGATAATTTTGCTATCCTCATCGTCCAAAAGATATTAATTTCACATAAGGGTAACTTATTTGAAAACTTCACTATCCTCCCTCCGACTTCGTCCTCCTCTCTGACACCACGATCACCAGACTACCAAACACGGCCTACGCGGCGTTATGCGATGCCTTCGGGGCAGCCACCGTCGGCCTACCACGAGCGCCCGAGGTGTCCATCTTCAACACCTGCTACAACCTTCTTGGGTACCAGAGGTGCGTATGCCGACGACGTCATTCTACTTCGCCGGCGACACGATACTGCCGCTTCCCGCCCAAAACTTTTTGATTCCGGTGGATGACATGGTGATGTTCTGCTTCGCATTTGCACCATCCTCGTCGGGCCTCTCCATCATGGGCAACATCCAACAAGAGGGGATTCATATAACCTTTGATGCTGCCAATGGATTCGTCAGCTTCGGACCCAACACTTGCCGAGAACTTCTATAAGCTATGGATATGAATAGTGGAGACTACGTAGTATATTATCTTGCATGAACGCAGGCCAAATATAATGTATATATTGAGTGGCTTCGAAGCAGTCAGTAGAGAAAGCAGAGCTAATTACTTCTTGCAGACTCTGCAACTACAAGAGGAAGTAAACCATCTCATGTTACTCTATATGGTTCTCTTGTTTGAATAAAAGCTATGAGTTTGCAGGAGGGCCCAAGCAGTGGATGTGATGATGTCATCTTGGTGTTGATGCCTTTAACTAAACATGGAGCAACTCGATCGGTTGTTTCCTTTTTGTCATTGACGAGTCTAGTTCATGCTCCTCCTCTAGGTTGCCTCCATGGGCAAGAGGCCCATCGAGAGGGGCAAGGAGTGGTGGCGCTGAACAAAGGGAGGAATCCCTGAAAGCAAAGAGAGGGCCAAAAGTTTTGGACAAAGCCATGTTGTCCACCGGAATCAAAAAGTTCCGAGCGGGAAACATCGGTATTGTGTCGCCGACGAAGTAGAATGATATCATCGGCACACGCACGCTCTGATACCCGAGAAGGCTGTAGCAGGTGTCGAAGATGGACACCCCGGGCACCCGTGGTAGGCCCGCGGTGGCAGCCCCAAAGGCATTGCATAGCACCGTGTAGGCCGCGTCTGGCAGTCTAGTGACTGTGGTGTCAGAGGGGAGGATGAAGCCGGAGGGAGGATACCAAACTTTTCACAGAAGTTACCCTATGTGAAATTAATATCTTTTGGACAGTGAGGATAGCAAATTTATCTTTTTATCCCTCTTTTTAGTGTCATTTCTACATGTGACAACACATACGATATCTTCCATCAGTAGAGTCGACGACATCAGGAAAAACGGGGTTAAATGTTTTACTTTCGTAACTATAAGGATGTCAATATAACTTTTTAAAGTATAGAGACCAAAATACTAAAGATAGCTAACTACAATGGGTAATTTGTAATTAACCCTCAAATTGCTCTTCAATAAAAAGAACAAACCAGTAAATGTGTCTCCATTTGTCAACCTCTCTTACATGTAAAAAACAATAAAAGAAAAAATATATATATTTGACAAAGATTCTAGAGTGAGATTGCAAAACCAATAAAAGTAGGTCAGCACTAAGAGAAAAACTGTAGGAGAACTCCATGCTGAAATGGTAGCTAATTTAACATCTCTAACACAAAGAAGTGAATGAGAGAACAAGACCGCAGCTGTAGGCACAGTTAAAATTTGAGATTTCTAGTTCTCAAAAAATATATAATACGAATACAGGAAGTGCATTTCTCCACTAAGAGTCTTTTTAATTCTTTAATTATGCTCCAGACAGACTTGCAAAGAAAGAAACGCAGATATAAAAGGACAAGAAATGCAATGACATGCTTGCTGAAATGCAATAAAATCTAAGTCCCGTGGAGATGCAACAAATTAAACATCCATATTCTTTGCTAAGTGAAGTACATAAGGGACTTTGTTAATATGTTACTTTTCTAAATGGAAAGAGCACATTAATTATATCAAGATGCTTTATTTTTTTAATGTGCAGGATCAGGCAGGTTAAAGAGGTAAAAAGTGATTGTGAGCAACTTGGGCTAAGGATTAGCCTAAAAATCTCAAGAATGCAGTTTACTGGCACTAATTTTTGTACTTAGATTGGCCCCTTCTTGGCATATCTGAAGCATAAATTTAGATGTTAAGAGTAAAGAAAAAAGATACTCAAAGCATGGTTTCAAATATCAGTCGGTATCAATTTTTTTTATTTTTAACAATACCAAGTAGTATAGTTTGGTATATAGCCCAGTATGTTACCACCATACTTGTCCAAAAAAATATAGAAACCAGTATTAGATCAGTATTTAGAACCCTTGACTCAAAGTATCACTCATTACTCTATGGATGCCTGGAGAATAAATGAAGAATAAATGCATTGAATAATATCAGCACCTGGGATGGAGAGAGATCAAAATAAGCTGCTAATGATGCTCTTGATTGGGGGGAGATGGAAACAACAACAGTATCCCCATAATTGATGTGAGCTAAAAATTCATCCAGACTTTGCTTCTCAAGCATAATGGTCTCAGCAGAAGTTATGCAACCACTGAAAAATAATATGAATTATGAAGTAGGAAAAAACAATAAACCACTGCTATTCTACATGATGAACTTATGATTACTTACAAGAATTTGGAATTGTTAATTCAAACTGTAATAAACATAATTCAAGAACAAAACCTTAAGAAGAAAATTCTCAGAATACTGAGAGTTAAAATTATAAGTACCATTCTTAGTCATCATAAATTGGACTTATACTAAGCTTCTTGGTCTAAAAGGCATCTATTGGAAGCAATGATAATCCTATATTCCTACTATTCCACAATAAGTTCACAAGCATGATGAGAAAATTGAATCCCAACTATTTAGTTTTCTTTAAGCAGCAGAAACTATATCCAAAACATTTTATCCATGAAATGAGAAATTATATGAATTGTTCTTATTTAACAAATATCCTTCAGCATAGTGCATTCTTGAAATGCTTTCTTGCCACAATCCATCAGGTATGTCTAGTTGTTTATGTACTCATTTGAACCCTTATTAGATGATCACCTTACGATATGGCATTGACAAGATGAAGTACATGGTTTAAACTGCATGATCTTCAATGATTATGTCTATGGTTGTAAGAAACTGCATGACCCTCAACGTATTGCGTGCTTGTGATCAACATACTTGAACATAATCGATGAGGTGGAGCTCCAGCTGATGACCATGGTTTTCCCATCAGCTGTTTTAGCTTTTTCCAGTGTTATTAGTCCACCTTAAGGAACTAGATTATACAACATGACTCATGGTGGGTATCTAGTGTCTGTCCTCTTGATATTTTAATTTTCTCTTATATTTATTTTTTTTTTATTGAAGCACTTGAAAATAAAAATCAACCAGAACCTTGTTTCTGACTGATTAACTGAACAAAACAAAATGAGATGGATCATATAATGACTAAAAAGAGAAGTATTTACGTGTCATGTTGCTTTCTTTTGTTCCTGCAACACATCAGGCGATAATGATATCATATTTAAAATGATTGCAATACTAGTACCTGCATGCCAGACAGTCCTTTAGAGAAATTTTAACAGCTTCTGTCTGCAATGGTTGGCTAGGTGATCTGACCTTTTCCTGGTTCTGCAAACAAGAAGGCAAACAAAAACTAAATAAAAAATAAAATAAAAGGATATAGATGAAGAACTAGTAAGCATCGGCATTGTATGAAGTGTTGGTCGTCCATGTTGACACGAAATTTTCTAGAACTTTGCTTTGTTTTCAAAATGATTTCAATATCGAAAGATAAAACACTTAGGAAAACTTTGTAGTAGAACATTTTTCTGATTCTAACTTGATGATGGGGTCTCATAGAAGGCCAAGGTAAGAAAAGATTAACTACCGACAAAGATATTGATTGCATTTTTTGTATCACATTCACAAATACCAGCACAGTAGAAAAGCAACATTTATCCACCATTAAGCTTGTTGTACAGTAAGGAAAAAAAACATGCATATATATGTATATAGTTTTAGCTTATCTGACAATCAATCTTATGGATTATTAAGGTAGATAGATTGTTTTTAATGGAACAAAATAAAATTTGTAATAGATATGACACTCCTATCAAGTTCTCCAATTTGAGGAGGACAAAAGATTCCCAAGGAAGAACAAAAGAGGGCTCAAATTAATTAATATTTTTTAATCTTTTGCAGAAAATAAGAAATTCAATCTGAAAACAGGGCAAGGAACCTTCTATCAAGTTACATACACACGCACAACACACACACACACACACACACATATGGTTACTATTGCCCAAGAATCCTATATAAATTCTATTATTGATCTTACAATAAGAAGTCCAAATAACTCATAAATAGCTTTAAATCTGTCAACCCTGGCCAAACACCGAAGAGGGTTTCCCAGACACATCCACATGGTGTGCGCAAACCATGGATCTGGGGTCCCAAAAGGGGATGTCGGTTCTTGTTTTGAGCTGGCTTGGACGCCAAACAGTCGACTCCCTTCTCTTTCTCCTCAAGGCCATTATTACAATACAGTAGTATGAACCCCAATTGTTTTGAGGTGGGTCTATCTACAAATTCGTCCCATCCCCGTCCGATAAAATGTCCTAATTCGGACCCTAATTTTATCGATTTTACCATTCAACCAGAAGTAAAAACATCGCAAAATTCATTTATTTCCACCAATCCAGCGGGCGTGCTCTTTAAAACAAATCCCTTCTAAGAAGAGTTTCCTGACTCTCGAAAGCAAAGGATATCGATCACAAGCGAAAAACCACAACCCACCTTCCACATAGATAGATACATAGCATCAAGAAAGAAAGGTGAAATCAAAGATAAAGAACAGGAATAATAATTCATTTGTAACCAATTCGATGAATCTCCCGACCCCCAAGAAGGAAGGAGGGGATACCTCGGCTTTTTCGTGCTTGGACTTGATGGCCTTGAGCGAGACGATGCAGTCCTGCGACGGCGCGATGAAATCGTTGAGATCCGCGAGGCGCAGCGCCGGCGAGAACTTCTCCGACATCTCGGCCGCAGGAATCCCCGATCAATCGACGGATCGACGACGAAAGGAAAGAGGACGCGAAGGAATTCGATCCCGATTTGGGAACTGGCGGGACCCCAGGAGATCGGCAACAAACAGAGTATATAATTCGAAGTCGCTCTAAGGCGGTCGTATCCGCACATATAAATATATAGGAGATTGGACGGTCGGATTTCACTGATAAAACAGACCCTGGCCCTTGAGAGAGACCCGCAATGCGATAGGGGTTACCGCCACCGCGTGGCGATCACACTCCATTAGGTCACCGTTGCCTCCAACTCCTGTCGCGAATGCAGACACGACGATCTCCCACGCCTGCACGGCGCCGAAGACACCACTAACGTAACGATAAGGACACGTCACACAACAGACAAATTTAGGTGCTCTATTATTTTTTATTAAATAAATATTTATTTTATTAAATAGAATATATGTTCTCATATGAACCCAAACATTAGATTTATTACTTATATAATTACTAATCAATCGAATGTCTCTACACTGACATTAAATATAATAATATAATTATGTGTTAATAATTTGAAAAAAATACTTTTCTTATCAGTTGCAATTAGGAACCCTAAGACATGCCAATTCTCTTTTATCTCTCTGTGTTTCATTTCTCATGAAGAACATTTTAAAAGAATTATGCAGCGGATATTAATATTTGATATTATTTTAATCACAACTAGAAAGGCAGCACAGAGTTGTCACAAGTAAAAATGCAAGATGACAAGTTAATCCACAAATCATACATAGAAGATAAGGTTATGCATGGTGTAGAAACATAGAACAAAAGGTATAAGCACACATGGGTACAGGTAAATGTTAATGTTACACAACTATGCACCCATGCATAACCTACTCGATCTGGCATCACTGGCTGTGTCAATGGTTACAGGATGAAGGCAGTATCAGAGTCTTCAAATATCACTTGGCAAGATTCATGATCATCATCTTGCAGGTGAATGCATGACTGCATGGTTTTAGGCTTTTTGTGCATGATCTCAAGCATTAGCTTCCGATAGCTTCTGAACCTTTCAAACTAATGTAAACCGAATTGTTCCTCATCTCTTCGTTGAGGTGCATAGGTATTGCATTTGATCAGGAATTCCATCTGGCAGCCGAAGCCTAAACTTTTGAGTTTTATCGATAAGGAACACTAGGAAGATCAAGGTTGACAACAAAAGCATTTCGCTTGCCACCATCCATCTCATCTGCAAGTCCGCCAATGGCTTCACGGAAGGCCTTTTGTGATGATCCTACTCCAAGATTAAGCAATTGCATTTAAATGAAACCTTCATGTGCAAATTTTGAGGCTGAACTGAATCAAGAACATAACAGCAATTATGCAATTTATGGAACTCACTTGGAGGACCTGGGTGACCAGGGTAAATTGGTGGATTAATTTCATCCGCTGGATCTGAGCAGGGCCATGATCCCCAAATTCCGTAATCCCTTACAACCTACAAAAGTTAATAAAACATATATCAGATACCACGCAAGAAACATTTTCTACTTTGAATTTAAAAACCAGAGTAGCGATGCTCACAACAGTTTTCATCATCGAGAACTGATGCAACATTGGAAATGATACATGCATATGCACTGTTGTGATGCAAGTTACATGGGTAAGCCAGTCCCTGAATAGACTTGATTTGCAAGTCTATGCTGGACAGATGACCTTGCTAACTTCAAGGTAACTAGTTTTTCTAAGTTCACAAGAAATCAAGTCAAAGTTGAAAAAGCATAAAGAGACAGATTTCACTTGTTCAATAAAATCAAGCAGGACGTCATCAACGATAGATCAGTTGAATCAAAAGATTCAAAACCATGGGTTCCTCATGCTTTGACACTTATATTACTAATAAACAAAATAGCATGCTACAGAAATCTATGCAAAGCTTCATCAATTAGGAAGAAAGATTAAGCAAATTTGAGGCATCTGTGCAAAGTTTCAACTTGTAAGACAATAAGATCAAGGAGGGACTTGCTAAACTTGGTATATTCTTTAACCGAAGTTTATAAATATTGGTCTATACTGATTTCGGCAATCAAATGAATCGCTAAGATTCTGAGATACTGGGAGAGCACTATTCGATATGTACTACCTGATTTCACTGAAAAAGATATATATCGAGTGGTACTGAGCTTATGGTTTCAAAATGGTGCTTGGCTGGATCTAAAAATTTGGCTAGTAAGTAACAGTCTGGTCAGTTCTTTGTACCGTTCTTTAACATTATTTTAAGTCTTATGAACTAAAGACACCACTAAATCCACTAGTTCTCACTGAAAACAGTTGCTAAGAATCCTAAATTCAGTTCCTAGAAACAACTGGTCTAACAGTTAGTTCTCTAACGCTTAGTAGAGTGCCAATGTTCTACTCATGAATGATGAAAAAATAGGTTTAAGAAGTAGACTACATTATTGCTAACAGTCTAAAACTTCGAAAGTGGCAGGCCTCATATAAACTATAAGATGAGAACAGAAATAACACAGATAGAAACAAGCAGTATGATTCAGTGCACAAGTGTTGGTATCTGCTAATGGAACAAAGCCATTCACAAACAACTTGAGCTGACCTTGATGTCAACCAAATAAATCTGAACTATGAAACACAGCTTGAAATTAATCGCAAGCCAAGCAAGACATGTCCTGACTCAACCATGATAGGCGCGCATATGCTCAATCACGGTTAAGTTGATGTATCTCTCATGTATGAATATGATCACTTTATACTGTTAAGTTTCATTTTCATTTTGATGGTCACTAACCCGTAAAAAAATGCAAAAGAGAAGGTTTCGACGAACATATACACATATCAAAGACATATTATGCTTATAAGAGGCATACAAATAAGCTAGTCAACATTAAAAAATTTACAAAAATAAAAGAACAAGATCTGTACGAAAAGAAAAAAATGCAAATGAACTAAAAGAAAATAAGGTCACCTTTTGTAGGTAAATAGTCCCCACTGTTAATGTTGAGCAGATGCAACATGTTGAGAACATTTATCTGATCTGAAGCATTCTGTCAAGTATATAACAGACATCGTATATTTTTGCACTTTTACAAGAACCAGCCCTACAAAATGCCTTGATCAACCTCTGAAATATACACACATCTACAATCGTTCCCTGTCTAGATATCCATTCTAATAGATTTAGAATTTCCTTCAGTTTTCCACCACGGACCAGCTCATACATCAAATGTGCAACTAGATCTGGTGAGTATCCATCCCTAAGGGATCGATAGAAACAGCCAATAGCCTCCAAATATCTTTTTTCTCTACAGAGACAACTAATCATTACACAGTAGGTTATCCAACTTGGAGCGATGTTCTCCTCTGCCATTTTGTGATATAAAAGGTGAACATCATGTATCCTGCCTGACAAATAGCAATAATGAATAAGAGTAGTATAACTCATTACATTAGCAACAAAGCCTTTGCTATCAAAGATGGACTCTGCTAAACGAAGCTTCCCTGCTTTAGAAAGGCTGTGAATCACAATGCTACATGTCCAACTGTTAGCAGAAATGCCCTTCTTATGCATATCAGCAAACAGCTTGAGAACAGCAGGCCATCTCCCAACATCAGAAAGTCTACTCATCACAGTGTTGTAGTTAACAACACTAGGATTCCACTCCAATTTGGCACTCTGCTCCAACAGGCATTTAGCCTCCCAAGCCTTCGAACTGCGACAGAGGCCATCAAGAAGGATATTCAAAGTCACAGCATTGGGACACAATCCTTTCTCACGCATTACTTCTAATTGCTCAAATGACTTGTCAGTTCTCCCCAGTTTACAGAGGCCATCCATATATATACTGTATGTGATCGTATCAGGCTCCCAACCCTTCAAAGAACTCTCTTTTATGAGCTTCTCGACCTCTTTGAAGGCCCCAGTCTTGCAAAGGGCTTCTATCAAAACGTTGTAGGCGACAGCGTTGGGAGGGCATCCGACAACCTCCATGGTGTTCAGTAATCGCTTCGCTTCTTCTACCCTGCCGCGGCTGCAGTACGCATGAACTATCGGAGTGTAAGTATAGACGTTTGGCCGGCATTCTTCCTCCAGCATCTGGTCCAGGACGCCCAACGCCTCCTCGACCCTCCCGGCCCAGCACAACCCGGCGATGAGCGTGGAGTACGTGACCACGTCGGGCGCGCAGCCGCACGTCACCATCCACCGAACGACCTCGTAGGCGGCGTCAAACTGCATCAAGCAGCAAGCGTACAGCTTGACCAGCACCGTGAAAGCGGCGGTGTCCGGGGCGACGTCGGACGACACCATCTCCTCGAAGACCTCCAGGGCCTCGGAGGCGCGTCCCGAGCTAGCCAGGCTGTCGACGACGGCGGTGTAGCATACGACGTCGGGGCGGCAAGGCGAATCCTTCATCTCGCGGAGGAGGCGGAGGGCCTCGTCGGCGTCGCCTGTCCGACCGTAGGCCTCGATCATGGCGGCGTATTCGAAGGGGTGGGGCCATCGAGGCCCAGCGCCGATTTCCAGAGCATGAGCAGCAGGAGAAGGAGGGGAAGAGCAAGGAGCATTCCCGGGGAAGCGCTTGACGAGCTCAACGAAGCTTCGGAAAAGATCATTTCTTGAGGATTCTTGCGACGACATCATGCGGATGTGGGCGGGGAGACGGCGAAGGAGTGATTGAGCGAGCGGGGAGAAGGGAAGAAGAGGAAGAGGGAGCGAGGGCATGCAAGAGAGGGGTGATGGTGCTGGGCCTCGAGGGGAAGCTGGAGGGCAATCCATGGAGCGGGTTTGAGGAACGGGAAGGGCAAGGAAGGCGGCGGCGGTGGCGGCTGCTGCACCACGGATTTGGAGAAGAGGAAGACGAGGGCTATTCACCCGTCCCAAACGCGAGCCATATCCGAGTCGGACGCGGCTCAGCCTCCGAGTTTATGCTATCATTAACTCGGTCCTCATTAAATATTCATTATTTTTTTTATTTCTCAAAGAGTTTTGACCCTTCAAATTTTTCGAAATAACATTTTAGCATCACAATCTTTGATATATTCATTAATTACTTTATAAACATTATACTTTTCAAAAAAAATATTTTCATGTGAGATAATAAAAATTAAAAAATCGAGACCTCATCCAAAAAAAAATTATTTAAAATATTAATTTAATAATAATATATTAGATGCACTTTAAAATTGTAAAATCTTATTCAAAATATTTTTATATATAAAATATTGATCAAATACTATACCAAATTTACTTACAAATGATTTAAAATTTCATCCAATAAATTTTCATAATAAATTTCGATGGTAGTGTATCAGATATACTTATCAAATATTAAGGTCTCGAAACATCATCTAATATATTTTCACACCATATTAGACATATTTATTAAAAATTAAAGGTTCAAAATAAATAATTTTTATATGCCTAAAGCATTGATATGCCAATTCAAGATCTCATCAAATAAAGTTTTACGTTTAAGACATTAGTTTGATGATAATAAATTTGTGTGGGATAACAAATAAAAGTCTTGATTTTGACTAGTGTGAGAATAGAGTGGACTTCTTCCAAATGGGTTCCTTTGACCAATTAATTGACCAAAGAGGATGTGGACTTGGTGGGATGGTTTATGTTGACTGATATGTAAACGAGCGAATACTAACAAGGTGTTATAATCTTAGTTTAATATATATAATCTTAGTTCTTTAATTGATCTCCATTTCTATCTCAACCAATAAGTTAATATCCTAATTTATATTATATTAAGATTGATTTATAAGGATCTAATTAGTGTATTACTATTAACTTCATCTTAAACTATTAGTATAGTTTAGACCAAACGAAGTTGATAGACCAATTAACCCATCGTACCAGACAATATAATTCATGTGTTTAGTTAGATTTATTTAAATCATATAATATCCAAAATTAACCTAAATTATAGCCTTATTTAGGTGGCATCAATTAAAATATTATTATTATTATTTTGTAATAATATCAAAAGTTTAAGCTTTTAAGATTAATGGTTTCCAATTAAAATCATTTTTATGATGTCAGAGCATACAGTACATCTCATTTGTATATACTGCCCTTTTTTTCTTCTTGACTTAGAGAAAAAAAAACAAATATTACATTAATTTTATATCGTATACACAATTTTTTTTCTATTTTTTATTATATTAAATGAATACATAAACCAATCGGATGTCTCAACATACAAAAGAGTCCTCTCTTTTAATTTCATGGAGAAGAGTGGCAAATACCACCATGGTTGTTAGGGTTGCTGGTGCAGCCGGACTGCGACGAGGGAGGCACCGATCCCTGTGGCAGCGACTGTAGAAAGATCTTGATGTTCTCCGGCCACCAGTCCCCGCCCAGAGGCCTCCCCGCCACGAGAAGATGCATGCATGACAACACCAGGGCGACGACCAACAACACTCTAACGAGCTGAGCCATCTTGCTGTAGAAGAAGATGATGATGAGGAGGAGGAGGAGGAGGATGTTGTTACACCAACAACAACAACAAGAAGATGAAGAAAGAAGAAGAAGAAGAAGAAGAAGTTGCTGCTCTGCGGAGGGGAAGAAGATGAGGAGGAGGAGGAGGATGTTGTTACACCAACAACAAGAAGAAGAAGATGAAGAAAGAAGAAGAAGTTGCTGCTCTGCGGAGGGGAAGAAGATGAGGAGGAGAAGGAGGATGTTGTTACACCAACAACAAGAAGAAGAAGATGAAGAAA